GGGGATTCTCTAATCCTAGCTTACCAGGCCCTCTCTGCCTCAAGATCATTGCCCATGAGATTACCTGGTTCCCTGGGCACAAGTGCCCAGGCATCTTTGGGCTTGATTGAGTCTATTGCCAGATCTAGACCCAAATAATGTTCTTCTTCCCCCCAGGACTTGGTTCAGATACTCAGCTCCTGCCCCGGAGATTAGAGGTTATTTACAAATGTTCTTAATGAAGCCATTAAAGGTTCTTGGGGTTGCCTCAGGACCCAAAACAAATTCATCTCCCCTTTCCCCTCTGCCTTTTGGGCTGGAGAGACCAATGGCTGCCATCAGCACTGTTCCGCATAGCTCCTGGGGCATTCATACACCTTGTACTGAAATAGGAGGGCACATCTTGTTCCGAACCTAGATTCTAACATTACGTCATTATATAAGAGGGCACCACATATGAGTGCACAGACTCACACAGTCTTACACTGATCAACAGACTGAGCTCAATAGTTGATGAGACAGCATGGTGGAGGGGAAAGAGCATTCAATCTAGAATTAGAGGGCCTGGGTTCAAATCCTAAATCTGCTCTTTACTACTTGAGTGACTTTAGGCAAATTGCTCAATCTCTTGGATTTTATTTCCTCCACTGAAAACGGAAGGGAGTTGAACTGGAGGACCTCTAAGGTTCCAGACATCTCTAAATCCTATAATCCGATATCCTTTAGGGCAGATATTAACCTCCTTTGTATCATAGAGCCCTTTGGCAGTCAGGTAAAGACAGTGGATCCCATCTCAGATGAATGTTTTTAAGTGCAAATACATAGTATTACCCAGAAAACTCTGCTTTAGGGGAAGCCCTTTGGATTATAAAAGGGCCCTGGCTACTTGTGCATCTGACCACAGGCTGTCCCTCAGAAAGAATATAAGCTCCTTGAGGGTAAGAACTATTTTGGTTTTGCCTTTAAATTTCCAGTCCCTAGCATAAGGTCTGATATACAAAAGACAATTGTTAAATGCTTGTTGCTTGTTGATTCATTCTCAAGCTTTGTTGTTCTTGGGGCTCTTCGGAGGAAAAGACCCTGCAGCTTACCCATGTGTCCATGCCAATATCAATGCCCCTATTGCCCAGGACTGTTGAGATGATTCACTGAGAAAGTGTGTAGACATATGAACCACATAAACATGAGCTCAAGCCAACATATCTCTTACTAGAACATGGAAGGATCCCTGCTGCTAAGGGAGAGATGTTACATCTATTAACCAAAAAGCATTTATTAAGCACTTGCTATTTGTCAGACACTGTGTTAGGTACTAGGGCCACAAAGGGAAAGGAAATAAACACTTACTAAGCGTGTACTAAGTTGTGCTAAGCACTTTACAAATATCTCATTTGATCTATACAACAACCAGTGAGGTAGATGCTATTATTATTCCCATTTTACAGATGAGAAAACTGAAGTAGCAGTTAAGTGACTTGCCCTGGGCCACATAGCTAATGAGTGTCTGAGATTAGACCTGAACTCCGGTCTTACTGACTCCAAGTCCAGTGCTCCATCCATTGTGCCACCAAAGAAGGCAAGAGATTCATGGAAGGAATACAGTTAATTTCTTTATTTATAGGTTTAATCTGGGAGAAAGGGTAGGATAAAAGGACTGGAAATCTCAGTGAGGACAGAATAGTTTTAGAAGTCAGACAATAGAAAGATGGAAGAACAGGAAATTATTATGAGAAGAGATTTTCATAGATGGAACAGTTATAGTGATGGTAAGGTCTAAGATATAATCATCCAACAGTGAAACAGTTTTTGCCTTCAAGAAGCTCACTAATTGGGGCCTGAGAATGATTCACAAACTATCATATTAAAAATGCTAATGCTCCAGGGACAAGCCCAGGGACTGAAGGGGATACCGAGGGACCCAATGTCTTTTTCCCTGCTCTGCTCTGGAATGCCCAAACCCAGCACAGCTACCAACAAAACCCACAGTGCCCATTTGTGTTGGGCCCTGAGGGTGGTTTTGCTTCTTCTCTGCTAGTGGCAAGGCCCTGGGGGAACTCTCACACTAGTGATGCTGCAGTCTGGGCATCCTACAGCTCCTCACCACATAATCAGGTAACTGGGAGGGAGAGAGGGAAGGAGGAAGGCAGCTTGAGACTGCTTCATAAGCATCAGTGCAGCTGGACACACACACACACACACACACACACACATACACACATACATTCTCTCTCTCTCTCTCTCTCTCTCTCAGGAAAGGGTTGGGGTGGGAGACTGATGGAAAAAGAAATCACTTTTTTTCAGCAAGTGCATGGGGGTGGGAGGAGTGTTTAACTCGGGCATCTTGAACATATGGGTGTGGTCATTTCCCCAATCTCTTGAACAACATTGCTTGAGCAAGGGAACACTCTGACCCATGGATTTACTGATTTGATCCTGCCTGGGACCAAAGCAGAGCCCAAAGAGGAAGAGCTATTCAAAAACCACCCACATGGCCCAAATCGGCATAACTCTCATCCTGCTCCCCACCCCCAGGCCCCACAGGCTGCCGCCTACAGGCTACAACCTAAATATACCAGCCAATCAGTGAGCACAGAGCCCCGTGCACCCCAAACAGGAAGCCAAGGGCCTGGAACAGAGGATGCACCTTCCTCAACACTTCGTGGCTCCCTTAATGTCTTATATGCATCCCTGGATCCTAGGGCCCCCAACAAGGATATAGTTCATACATGTACTTTGCTCTGGGCTTTTTCCAGGTCTTAAAGGGCTAGTTTATTTTCCCTACCCTACATTTGGACAGTGCCACAAAAATGACTTTTCAAAGGGCTTTCATGGATCTAATCTCATCTGATCTGAGTGTTACATCACCACTTATGAGGGAGGCAAGGGAGTCATGCTGCTTGGGTTATGAGACATGTCACCTAGACACCTTAGTAATTCTCAAATTGAGTACAGCAAGATTCAGGAATGGAAAGAACACTGGGATAGAGTTAGGCGAGATCTTGGTTTAGCCCCAAGTTTTAACACTTAACTAGCTCTGGAAGCCTAAGCAAGTCAATTATTTCAAGCCAGTCTCAGTTTCCTCATCTGTAAAAAAATGGCTGATATTACCTACTTCACAGGGTTGTTATGAGGAAAGCGCTTTGTGAACATTAAAGAAGGATATAAATGCCAGGTGGTATGATTATTAGTACTCTTTAAAGGCTGGAGAGGAGATGAAATGTCTGCTGGAAGCACCTCAGCCAGCTAGCTATCCGTAATGCAGAAAACTGGAAGGTGACATTGAAAGGGATGTGGGAAAGAGAAGAAAAACCTAATGAATTTCCAACAACAACAAAAAATCAGAAAAGCAGACCCTGTGGAACCTAAAAGTGATCTGCAAACAAAGAAAGGGCTGTGGTTTCTCAGCAGGAACAGTAGCTGTGCAAATCCCAAAAATAAGGGTCAAGCCTAAATGGTGGGCCTACTGAGCTGAAGTTCACTTCTGGAACACAAGTAAGTCTCCTGGTGCTCCCTCCAACTGAGTGGACTCCAGGATGTGTTCATTTCCTAGAGATCTCTACAATCAGTGACCAAGCCATATGTGAAATGGATTGGAAAGTTGGCTGGTTGCTGTACCCTAATCAAATATGCACTTCTACTAATATGCTTAAAATTCAGTTCATTCATTTAATCATTCATTCCTTCAATAAGTCTTTAGTTAGAACTTGCCAGTGCTGGACCTAGGGATACAAAGACACAATTGAAAAGGTACCCCCCTTCAAGGAGTTTACATTCTAATGGAGGAGGCAATACAAATACAGATAAGTAAATATAAAGTCAAGGGGAAAGGGAAGCTACTGTTGTATAAACATGAGTTTCCCACAAATGAATTTATTGCTTTTAAGAGTAATTATAGAACAATAATAATAATAGCTAACATTTTTAGTGCTTTAAAATTTATAAATTCTTTCTTTACAACAATCAACAATCCTGGGAGGGAAGTCGAATATGTATTATCTCCTTTTCACAGATAAGGAAACTGAGGTTCAAAGAGGTTATATGACATAAAAGATAACACAGCTAGTATAAGAACCAACACCTTTTACTATATGGTCTGCTCCAGGAATATCTTATGACAATTTTGAAAAACTAAAGAACTCCAGTTGGTGCAATGACCAGCTACAATTCCAAAGTACCATGTTGAAATATACTACCTACCTCCCAATAGAGAGGAGATGATCTCAAGATATGGAATGAGACATACATTTTTGGACATGGTAAATGCATGAATTTGTTTTGCTGGATTATGCATACTTGTTACAAGGATTTTGTTTCTCTTTTTCTCAGTTGGAGAGGGGAGAAGGAAGGGAGAGAAAATAAATGCTTGTTAAGTGAAAAAAAGAAAAGTAAAATAAAATAAAAGTTTAGTATTTCTATATAGAGATGCTGGTAATCATCCCCTAAGACACAGGTGAGAGAGTTCAGGACAGTCCAGAAGAGCCGTCATAGCAACCAAGAAGAGGAGAACAGACCAGAAAGGAAAATCGAAAAAGTAACTAGTACTCACATATCTACAGGTTGACAAAATGTTTCTGCCTCTATAACCCCAGGGCAAGAACTGAAAGGATTATTGTTTCTGTATTTCCCAGAGGAAGAAATTCATAATCTAAGAGTTTAAATGACCTGCTTAGGGGCCCACAATTAGTAAATTGGCCAGAAGCTGGAGTCGGTCAAACCCAGGTCTTTTGACTCCAAGGCCAATGTTTTTCCCACCACACCACACTGCCTCTTCTATTTGGATCCATGTAGAAGACTCCAGGGAGGCCAAGCAGAGCTTCTACCTTACCCCATTTCCTAGCTCGATGATGGTCCCTCTCCGTCCAAGATGGCTCCCTGGGCTGGAAGGCCTGCCCCAAGGAGCTGGAAACATACTTCACATCCTTCTCTCCTCATGCATTCCCCATGACCACAAAGGCAGACAGATAGATCCCAGCTCTCCCACTCCTTCCCCCAAAGAGAGGCCCGACAGCGCCAGGCCCTACCTTCCTCCGCATCATTCCTTAAGGAAGCTTCGAGCAGCGCCACGCTGGCCTCGAAGGACACCTTCTTCTGACTGGTAGCGCTCCTCTTCTTCTCATGCTTCCGCTTGCGGTGCTGCAGCTCTTTCTCATACTGGGCCCATTTCTTCAGCTGCTGCGCTCGGCGTTTCTGGGCCGCCCGCAGCCTCTCCAAGGTGGGCACCTTCTCCAGGAGCTGAAGCTCAGTCAGGAGGTCCACGTGGTTGGCCATCATGTCTCCCCCCACAGAACAGAGCTCCGTGGCCCCTGGGCTCTGCAGGGCTAACATGGTGGTATCCCACGAGCCAGGGGAGAAGGTATCCTCCTGCTGCTCCTCTGCAACATGGCGGGAGCCTGCAGAGGTGGAGAAGGAGAAATGCGCATGGATCATCAGAGCAAAGCCAACCAGTCATCCCCAAAGCCCTCCCAATGCCCCTTGGAACTCAGATAGGACTGCTTTTTGTTTAACCTCAGTCATAGTAAAAACAACTCATATTTCAACAGCATTTTAAGGTTTACAAAGCTTTTTACTCATGACCACCCTGTGAGGTAGGTAGAACAACTGTTCTTATCCCATTTTACAGATGATGAAACTGACACTCGGAGAGGACCAAGATCGCACAGCAAGCATCAGAGCCAAGATGTGAACCCAGCCCCTCTGTCCCTAAACTCTATTCTTTCCTCTCAGTCTCCAGACTCACGAAAACTCCGGCTCTTTTGATTTCAAGTCAAGTACTCTTTCCATTCTGTCTTACTCCCTCTCTAAAACATGAGCTATATATTCAAGTTATCTGTGTATATCACTTATTCTTCCACTTCAACTGTAAACTCCATGAGGACAGGGACCTTGTCTTAGCTAAACTCTATCTTCTCCCAGCACTTAGCACAGTCAGCACTGCAGCAACTGTTGAACTGAATGATGTCTTAGAAAAAACCAGCCAGATAATGTGGCTGCTAAAAATAAACAAACAAATAAACAAATAAAAGTTAACTTCATCTCAGGCTGCATTAAGAGAAGTGGAATGTCCAGATCATTGGAAGTCATAGTTTCTATGGAGTGTGCCATGAGCAGACCATTTATGGAATATTGTATCTGACTCTGGGCATCTTATTTTAGGAGAAACAAAAATAAACTAAGATCAGTCCGGAGGAAGATTACCAGGATTTGAGATGTCTGGAAACTGTGTCCTAAGGAATCTGAAGGAACTAGGAGGGTTTACCTTGGGGAACGAAAGGTAGACAATGACCACTGTCTACAACTATGAGAAGGATCACTGTGAGGAAGAACAATTACATTTATTTTCTTACTGGCTTCCGAGGGCAGAACTAGAAATAATGGAGGCAAGGTACAGGGAGACAAGTGTCACCTTGCTATAATGAAGAACTTTCTAACAATTAGAGCTGGAAAACAATGGAACAATCATAGGATCATAAATTTGGAACAGAAAGGGACCTTAGAAATCATCAAATCAAACCCATTCATTTTACAGATAAGGTAACTGAGGGTCACTCAGGTAAAGTGACTTTGTAAGGTCATACAATTAGTAAGTATCTGAGGTAGGATTGGAACCCAGGTCTTCCTAACTCCAAGCCCAGTGCTCTATCCATTACACCATGCTGTTTTTCAATGAAAATGAGTGGGTTGTCTCCAGAACTGGAAGAATTCAAGAAGATGCTGAATGACCACCTGTCAGAGATGCTGTAGAAGGGAGACGATCAGATGAATTATATGCACTTTCTAGTCCCATCCCACTCTGCGATTCTTAGTGTCTATGGGGGTAACATTCTGGACCCAGTTAGGAAGACATGGGTTCAAATGTCACCTCAGGGAATTACTAGTTACATGACATTGGGTAAGTCCTCTGGGCCTCAGTTTCCTCATTTGTCAAATGGGGATGATGACAGATTATCATTAGTTTATTAAACTTCATTGGTTTGTTGTAAAGATCAAGGAAGGTGACATATACCAGTGACATCAAACTCAAACAGAAATGGGGCCACTAAGTGATACAGAAGGAACACTGCAGGTGCATAGTGACTTAGAAAACCACATACTAACATTATCTATGTTTTATTGTATTTTTAGAGTTTTAGGGTTAAATATTTCCCAATTACATTTTAATATGGTTCAGACTTCACTTGGGAGTGTTGTGGGAGTACCATGTGCTTGACACCTCTCACATATATAAAGTATTTTGCAAGCCTTAAACCACCGTATAAATTTCAACCATACATATTATTGTTGATGTTGTTGTGCACAGGCAGAAAAGTATGTGGGAAACAAAGGAGAAAATGATAATCCCTTGTGCCCATATAGGACCTCATATTTTCCAAAGTGCTTGTGCCATGAGAGGTTCATGACAGATCTGTGAGAAAAGCAGCACAGGTATTATTATGCCCATTTGACTAATGAGGAAGTTGAAATAAAATCCCCCTAAGTCTCCCCACAATGAACTTGAAGTTAGAAGACTGATTTGAATTCTGGATCTACTATTTACTAGTTCAGCAAGTAAATTCACCTCTCTAGGCCTCATTTTCCTCCTCTACAAAAAATGGAGGCTGGATCAATTATCTTTTATGGTCTCTTCCAATTCTGACCTTCCATGACCTTTGATCTCAGTGCCTTGTCTGAGCTCATAAAGTGGCAGAGCCCAAAGTAGATCCCAGGTATTGGAGTGTCCACCTAGGTCCTCCCTCCACAGGCCTCTGAGTGTACAGCCACAAAGAAAGGCAGAAACAAAGAAAAAACTCCCAGAAGATTTTATTGTATAAATCTGGCTTCCTGTTCCTCTCTAAGTAGTGTCTCTACCTTGGCCTATGAAATCAGATTCCGAAAGAAAACTTAAGTGAGGCTAAGACACAACCTCAAAGAAAGTGGAAGACATAACTTCCTAAGAGAGGTTCGTTTTTTTCTCTGACTTTGCCGAGACTCATTAATGTCTCTTGAGCTTCTAGACTTGGGTGGTGAGCTCTGTCCCTTGTCAGATGGCCTAATTTCCTCCAAATACTCAAAAAGGGAAAAAAAAAACGCAGACACATTTTTCCACCCCCGTGTGAAACCCCATTGGTCTAATTAAAGAACAGTCAGAGTAAAGTTCAAGACGTTGTTTCCCCCGGTGATAAGGCAACAAAGTCAGATCTGGAAATTTGTGACTTAGAAGCTCTCATTTTTCATCTTTCTCTGCCTCATTCCTCTCCACTGTCATGAAGCCAATACTTCCTCTCGTTGGTGACAGGTCCAATATCTGTCAGAAGTACCATGGTATGTGGAGACAAGGACATGTGAAGGCATGCATTAGCAGCAGCTCCACGTCTCATCTGTAGCCTCATCTCTTGGATCTTGCCAGAAACACACACAGGTCTGGGGAGCTGAAGCTGGGAACAGATGACTTCACATTCATTCATTCGTTCATTCATTCATTCAACAAGCATTTATTAAGTACCAGGCACTGAGCTAGGTGTTAGGGATACAAAGATAAAAATAAAATAGTCCCTGCCCTCAATAAGCTTACATTCTTTTAGGGGAAAACAACACAAACACACACACACACACACACAAAAGGCTATTATTCCATTTTACAGATGAAGAAATTGAGGCAGACAGAAAGGTTAAATGATCTGTCACATAGCGAGTAAGTATCTGAGGTCACATTTGAACTCAGACCATCCTGACTCCAAGTCCAGAACTCTATCCACTGTGCCATCTAGCTACCTCTTTTTAAAATTTATGTTCTTTGCAACCCTTAAAGTGTTATACAATAGTCAACTAGTATGGTTTTCTGCTTTTAGAGAAAATTTCCTGTTTCTGATGGAAGAGTTTTTTTCTCACCTTTTATCAAAAGAGATATAAAGGGGAAGTTTGGGGGAAGCACAAACAGCCACATTACAGTTCATACTTGGTGACTTTACTTCCTAGAAATGCCCCTCAGTAGTTTCAGACGACTGATTACAGATCACAGAAGTCAGATTACACAGAAAAGAAGTGAAGATGACTGAACACCTTTAACAAGGATGAGAATGAATTGGTTCTTTCTCCCCGACGGTAACCAGGCTCAAATCACTCTATGTCTGGTCCTTAGTCCTCTTCCCTGTAGAATGGGGGGGGTGGCCTCGGTGGCTGCTAAGATCACTTCCTGCTCTAAATCCTTCATTTGTAGGAATGCTGAAGGTGGTGGATGAGCCAGAGTGCACAGCAAGCATTAACACACAACACAATTCAAGATAGCCATCATCATTGCTTCTAAAAGAGGTGTCTAGAGGTTGGACACCTATTCAAGAGAAGAGATGAGACCTAAAGGAAGGGGATGAACCCAGTAGAGCCTGATTTTGTAACTATGGATAAGGGAGGTAAAGGTGAGACTCTGAGCTATGGCAGGGTACTGTGGGCCAAGGGCAAAGGCTGGTCCTAGAAAAGATGATATGATAGGGTCATAGTTCTACAGCTGGAAGGGCCTTCAGAGGACATCGAGTCCAACTCCATCCTTTTACAAATGAGGACACTGAGACCTGGGAGTTAGGGCGACTTACCCAAGATGACATCAGAAGTGGAATTTGAACTCATTTCCTTCAATTTCAGAGTCAGTGCTCTTCCCACTGTCCCATGAATGGAGTCATAAAGGAGATTAAAAAGTCATAGCGGGTAACATGTAATTGAAAAAATTAAATATATATATTTTTAAAAGTCACAAGGGGAATTTGTTAGGAAGAATAAGAAATCAAAATCCAGGACTGCCTCCTAAAGGAGGAAATCTGGTTCCTTCCCTTGAGAAAGTTCCAGACCTTGAAATATGAGAGTATCTACTATAAACATTGTCCTTTATAGGCACTTCCTGTCCAGGACAGGTCAGTGCCATGATAGGAATGAACCACCTCTCTGGAAACCTAATATAGTGGAACGCGTACTCGATCCTGGCTTCAGGTCCCAGCTCAGGCATTTATTAACTTTATGATAGTGGGCAAATCACTTAATTCTCTGAAACTCCAATTTCTTTACTTATAAAAAGAGGGGGAGAGTGGGATTGAACTAGGTACTCTCTAAATTCTCTTCCAACTCTGAGTTTATGACCTCCTGAGGACTCCCAGTCCTCCCATCTTCAGATCACTCCACACCCCCGCCCTCACAACCCTGTGGTTCTGGCCCAGGTGGCTACTCAGTCTGAGTACAGTCTAAGGATGCGTGGTGTTCAGTTAGGCCAATGGTCAGGTAAAAGGATAAAAACTGGGCTCCTACAAAGGCACTGCAGCGAGATTATGGGAGTGGAGATTAGCTAATTTACCTTCTGGGATCTCAATTCTGCGGTTCTTTTGGCTTTTTACTAATGCCTCGAGAAAAACAGCAAGTTAAGATTAACTCA